TCATACACATTAGTGTCAACCAGGGGATTATTTTCAAAAACAAGCTGGGTCACCACTACCCAGAAATCCTGATCCCAAATTTTCCCAAACAATGAGCTGAATGCTGCTGTGCATCTGTGGGTTTTTTTTGGAAGTTCTAGAGGTGGCTGAGGTCATCCTAGCCTCGAACCTGTAGTGTAGAAAGATCATCACCTCACAAGATGGGAAATTCCAACCCTTAGGTTGGCTGTTCTCTCCACTCTGATTGTTGGCCACATACAGCAAAGCTGGTTTTTGCCCACTTTAAATAATTAATTCAATCTGTTAGTCAGTCATCAAACCAGGCTCACTGAAGACCTGTCATGCCCTGGACCTTGAGCTTGGGGCTAAGGAGATATAAAAGAAGGAGCTAAACTCCTCTTCCAACAGCACAGTTCCTCCCCTCAACTTCCACCCTTTGGTAACCTTTACTTTTCCTCAGATCCCTTTTCACCCCCTGGCATCTGAGATGCACACTGGCTCTGCCCAGGAGAGCAGGCACTGGATGTTCCTTGCACACTGCTGTCCCCAGAGCCTGGAGCAGTGCTCAGCAGCAGGTGGCATGTGCAGGAAAGGTCTGTGTTACTAGGGCCAGGTAGTGCCATATCTGTGGAGGGTCAGGCTGACAGCCGACCTGAGGTACAGAGGAGGTCACCAGCCTCCCTGGTGTGACAGCGTGATTTCCAGCCCTGTCCCTTCATGCTTTTTGGTCTGAAATCATTGCCTTAAGTCTCAGTTGCTTTATTTATAAAATGTATGAAATATACTGGAATAATATTCAATGTGCAGAAAAATGCTTGGGAGGTAGTAGTTCTGCTGTACTGACTTTCTTGTTACCTAGAATGAAATAAACAGAAAACTATTCTAGAAAATTCCAGAACATGGCTGAAGAGATAAATTGAGTAGCCTACAATGTGCCTACAAAGCTCATAATTACAAAGCCTTGTAATGTGCGTCTAGTTGTTCCCTGGGCTGATATCGTAGCACTTTGGCCATATACGGACCTTGCCCTTAGTGCTTGGGACATGAAGGTGACAGGAAAGACACGGCCCTGTCCTCACCGAATTTACTATCTATGTGGGATGGATGACGGATGGGAATCAACAAAGCCAGAAACGTAAGTTTCTACCCCAAAGAGAACCAGGCAGGGCAGGGTGATACTTGCAGGCCTTTGTGGGGTTAGGGCGGGGTGTGTGAATTTAATGTGTGGTCCAAAGGGTGCAGAAGGCTGCACTGAGCAAGAGGCCCTGGTCCAAGACCAGAACCAAGTAGAAGCACCGAGAGGCCTAGGAGGCAGCCAGGATGGACAGAAAGAAACCAGGGCCTGGCACCCAGGATATGCGACTTTCCTGTCCCGAAGGAGGGCGGAGCCAGGCTCTCAGGGCTTCTCAGATCCTGTTGTGTGTTCAAATCACCAGGGCGGTGCTCGCTTCGGCAGCACATGTACCAAAATTAGAACGATACAGAGAAGATTAGCATGGCCCCTGTGCAAGGATGGCATGCAAATTCGTGAAGCGCTCCATATTTAAACAATAAAAAATCACCAGGGCATCTTGTGAAAATGCTGCTTTTTAAAAAATATAATCTAGGTATGTTTATTTCTTTGTTCATCATCCATTTGATACATCAATTAAAACAGTACGTTCCTTAGCCAATTTATAACTTTAATGAGAACACAGTATTCTTCCATTCTTCTGATGATCGTAGTTGATGATATTTTATCAAAAAATATGTCTTTCTAAGTGGAACAGTCATTTTCACCTGGAAAAGGTGATGGGTAACCCATTACTATCATAGACTACTGGACTATATTGGATTACTTTGCTGAATTCATGAATCTACCATATATGAATGGCAATGGAATACCCATCTCTGGCAAAAGTAAACAAAAAAGGGGGATATAAATGAAGGTCCATTTTGTGGGCTGTGAAAAAAATATAGGGGCCAGGGATAGATATACAGCTACTTTCCCTTAGTTCAATGAGAAGAAAGTTTTGAACTAATAGTGTTTAGACAAGATATCATGTCTTCATTTTGTACTATGAATAACTGTTATGAAGACAACAATATGCAATGTATTGATTATTTTAACAGTCCTACTAACCTGTTTTGAAACTGTCTCATTGCTAGTTCTTTCTCAATAAAATTAATATAAAAATGCAAAGAAAGGTAGAGATAATACAGAAAAACCCCCCAGAATTTTAATTAACCTAAAAAAATTGGAAAATGCTGCTTCTGATCCAAGTCTAGGTGGGCCAGAGACTGAACACCCTATATTCTGCTAGAGGACACAGGGGCTGCACCAGCAGGAGGAAGGTTTTAGGCCAAGTCTCTGTCCTAAGCGGGGGGCTCAGGCAGGAGAATTTTCATAACATTTCTCTGGACTTTCCGATTTCATCTTGCAGCCATTGTGGAGAAAATGCCTCTGTGTGGAGCTCTGGGAATCCTTTGGAAACTACTAAGATCCAACTGAAGTTCTGGCTCCTTCCTACCAACTTCATCTGACAATGGCCAGGTCAGTCCCAGGTGTAGGCATCAGTGCCAGGAACAGACTGGCCTTGACCCCCAGAAATCCCTTGCTTGAGAGCTGTACCTTCGAAACTCTCAGCAGCTGGTGGAGGACAGCCCCTGTGCCTGTGCATTCTTTTCTTTTCTGTTTTGCTTTTTAAATCAAGCTAGGCTTGCTACACACACACACACACACACACACACACACACACACACACAAATGGGGGGGAGAATCTTAGAAATGCAATAATAGCCACACGTGAGACAGAAATGAAGTCCTACAAACACTAATTCATCTCCAATGCAATCATTAAAGGATTACCGAATTAGTCTGCTTTTGTTGATGCTGCTAGTACCTGAGCGGAACCAGACTAGAAATTTCAGGACTGCTGGGTCACACGGTGGGATGGACTGCAGCCGGGGTTGTGACTCTCTGGCAAGGTGACCGGTAAGTAGCTAATGAGGAGCACAGTGCTGAACTCACGCACAGAAGGTGTACACTCAGGCCGGGGCAGTGAGGCTGGGGAGGTGAGAGTCCCTTCCAGTGATGTTTTGGATGACAAACTGAGATACGCATCTGCTGGCATGCAGCTTTTGCTGCATCTCTCGCAGGCCTGCCAATGTCTTGCTATGACAATCTGGGTGACAAAGATGCACCCAAGAAACGGTGTCCTTGTAAGCAATCCCAGTCGTTCTTGATGAATGTCCCCAAACAAAGGTTGCCCACTAACCCCCACGCTAGCAGCTCAATTTAATTACTCACCTCTGCAGAATTAAATCAAAGGTGGTTCCTATTATGCATAATTACCTTTCCAGCAGCTTGTATAACACAGTAAGTGCGGCGCTACTAACCAGGAGTGGTTCTCTCGAAAATTATAGATGCATTAGACTAAATCAACAGCAGTCAGGCATGCGGCCTCAGAGACACACAGAAGTCAGACCAGAGCACATGTGTGATGCATGTAGCCTGTCACACACATGGGAGTATATTTCCTTTACGGAGAAGAGTAGCCTTGGCCCACTACTGCGTGTCAAGAGTAAGATCCAAGAAGGGCCTCCACACCGCAAGTGCGCAGCCTGCTTAGCGGTGGTGGGCTTACCGCGGGAGAGCAGACAGGCCTCAGGTGGTGAGCCGGGGCTGCTCTGCACCAGTTCCAGAAGTCATCACCCAGCTCTCCCTGAGACCTCCTGCCCCCTGCAAGCGGGAAGTGTCGCCACCCTGGCTGCCTCTGACACAGTCATTTTTCTCCCGTTCAACCTCACTACATCTTTCATTCCTGCCACATGAAAACATTTTTTACATCCTTAGCATCTTCATCATTTCAGGCTTGTCAATTCCCATTTTCCCTAATTGATAAATAAATCAAAACCTGAAAGGAAGCGAAAGTTGGGAAGAGCCTTTGGCCCTTCCAAGAAGGGACTACAGTGAGTTGGACTTAGAATGTGGTTCTTCCAGTCCAGTGCCTTATTTGGAGATTTATATATATGCTATCCACTTTTACTTTATAAACTTGTTTTTTTATAATTTTATAAAAAAATTATAAACTTCATAAACAATTTTTTTAAAATTTGTGGATCCAGGATTTGAACTTGTGGCCTTTTGCACAGAACTGGATCACTAGTTCCCTGAATGTGCTATCCTCCTGCGTCAGCCTCCCAGGGGCTGGGATAACAGATGAGCACCGCTACACTGGCTTAAAAATTTGATTATTAAATTTGTGCCCCTGAACATAAGCAAAGACCTCAAAAGAATCCATTTCTTTCCCCAAGAGAAATGGTCTCTTTCCTGTGTCCCTCTAATGGTCCTACAAGTTGTGTTCACTCTCATGAAAAATCCACCACATTCAGATTTATGGAGTGAATATTATGGACTAAGCACATATTCAACACACTCTAGACACAATTGATATGAACCAAGTCATGACCTCCTTTTATATCAGATATATATATATATATATATATATATATATATATATATATATCAGTACTTAGTAGGTTAAACAACTTGTCTAAGGTCAGACAGGAAGTAAAATAGCAGCCTGGATTTCATTCCCAACCTCTTTGAGTTCAAAGGCCTCGACTGTAGCCCAAGAGAGCAGGGGCTATCACGTAAAAGCTCTGAACTTCGCCAGCCCAGTACTCACTACTCCTTATGCGGGAAACACCTCCTTGACTTCATTTTGGCGAATACACATCAGCCACCCCTGCCTCCTCCAGTTCTGGGTGCAAACAGGTCAAGGAAGGTTGACCAGAGGCTGCGACTGGGTTTGGGAAAACCACCCAAACCCCCCCAGGCCGGCATGCACATCTGTGGGGTCCTCGGAAGGAAGCCGCTGAGCCATGTGGATGATGGGCCGGGTGCCCACCATGACCACTGCACACAGAGATCCTGGCATGGGAGGAAGGAAAGTACAATAAAGAGGAGCAACTTTGAGCCAGTCCATCCCTTCACCCCTTTCTGTACTCGCTGAGGACGGCACTCACATAGTCACTCAAGGAATGGACAGTTCATCATAGGCCATGGCAGGATTCATGGAAATAAAACTTGGGCTTCCAAGACTGCTGAGAATATGCACCATGTGCCCCTGGAGCCAGACACATCTAGTCATAAATTTTGGTTGCACTCTGTATGTACCATGTGAGCAAGTTAGCCAATAGCTTGGTGCCTCAGTTTCCTGGGGAGTAGGATGACGGTGTGTCTCTCTCCTTAGCTGAAAAGAAGTCTCAGTCAGGACAAGTACACGTAGGATGTCTGGGGGTGCCTGACACAGACTGGACATTCAGGAAATGGTAACATAGCCTCTGTGATTATTTTAAAGAGCACAGCAGAGGGGAGGGGGTGCAGAGAAACCTGCTGGCTCTGTTAAGGTTGCAGCGAGCAGTGCCAAAGCCTGTGGGAGGTCAGCCAGGCCAGGTCTGAGGCTCTTCCCAGATCATTAGTCCTCTTAAGAGTTGACCAGGTGCTCCTGTGCAGGAAAGAGGAAGCTTGGGCTCAGGGGGATTAGTGAGAAGGGAAGCGAAGGATCCACAGCAAATGGAGATGGCGGTGGTTGGCTTGGATGAAATCTGGGTGGAAATTGATAATTAAACCCATAAATGAACAAATGGGCTTGAGTTCTATGGAGCCATGGATAGGATAACCTCATCACTTACCTATCTAGCCATTTATCTATCTACTCAGCAACCCACCTATCTATCTCTCATGTATACATCCATCTATCCATTCAACCCTCTACCCGCTCATCCATCCATCCATCCATCCATCCATCCATCCATCCATCTATCCATCTATCCATCCACACATCCATCCATCCATCCATCCATCCATCCATCCATCCATCCATCTATCCATCTATCCATCCACATATCCATCCATCCATTCACCCACACAGTCATCCATCCATCCATCCATCCATCCATCCATCCATCCATCCACCTACTAACCCATCCATCCATCCATCCAACCACCTACTAATCCATCCATCCATCCATCCATCCATCCATCCATCCATCCAT